ATTCATTCTACTGGTTCTGTTTCTTTAGAGAACCCTGACTAATAATTTTTGAATTTTATGGTCCCACCTCTTTTGAGTTCCTTTCTTCCCCTTTCTTCCCATAGTTCTTTGTATAGCCCCCCTTCTCCCCCTCCCCTTTAATTACCCCTTATTTTACACATTTCTCCTTAGTAATGCCTGTCACCTACTATTCTTCTCTCTTGGGTTCCTTCTTTCCCTTTACCCCCCTAATTTCCTTCTGTTTTCCTCGTTCCTGCAGTTACATCAGGATATACATTCACTTATAAAGTTTTGTTGCTAGGAGACCACCACGTAGGCTGGTAAGGGAGAACGTCAATCGATGGTCCAACTCTTGCTTCAAGGCCTTAAAAACCTTATCAGTGACCAACACAGCAAATGACATTGTTGCAGTAGTGGCACTTTTACCTTGGGGGTAATCAACAACTATCTAATGAATTTAAGGTGTGCTCAACATGAGGGAATTCGTGCATGGAACTGTAAACACAGCTAAGTACACATGGTTGGAGAGGTGGTAACCCTAGGGAATAACCTACTTTTAGCACTTTGCTAGATCAACTTAACTTCTTATTATATTCTAAATATGTACCTGTGATGGCTAATCCTGGGTGTCAACTTGACTGGACCTGGGATTAACTGAAATGAGAGAAATCTTCTTAATTGGATCATCTGAAGCTGGAAGATAAACCCTAAATATGGGTGTTACCTTCTGATGGCAGCCCATATAAAAGGCCATTGCGGAGGAAAACACCTGGCTTCTTGCTGCTTGCCTTCTCTCTCGCTGGGGAGTTCATCTTGCTGCTGTAGACAGAAGACTAGCTGATCTTTTGTAATTCGTCAGATCTTCAGCACCAGATCGGGACTACTGAGACATCCAACCTCATGGACTGAGCAACTATGGATTCTCAGCCTCTCCAGCGTGGTGCAGTCATTGTTGGACTACTCGGACTCTATCCTGTGAGCTAAGCTGATAAATCTCACACACACACACACATATATATATATATATATATATTCATTCTACTGGTTCTGTTTCTTTAGAGAACCCTGACTAATACAACTACTCTCACCTAGGTCTGGGCCTGGAAGGGTTAAGTGGAGGGGCAGTATGGGATGAGAGTCCTGGGTCAGACTAGGCAAGAGAGGATGTGGATACTGCTCCCACTTGGGTCTGAGCCTGGAAGAGCAGCATGGAGTGAGGGTCCTGGGTCAGACTCAGTAGGAAGGATATGGATTTTAGCCACATTTATAATCTCTGTACCAACAGCAATAGATGCATGTGCAAAACTATCATTTTTATTTTATGGCTGCTGAGAAAAATGGATTTGAAAATAACAGTTCAAATACTTGTGAGAAGAATAAAAAATTGCATACTGCCTCTAGGAAATGTGATACAAGAGAAAAACAGATATAACAACAATGCATACTTACTGTTCTTTCTATGAATAAAATCATAATTAACAAAGGAAATAAGTGATAGTATGTCCAGCAGATGATAGCCAAAACCTGTTGGACAAAAGACCTATGTATCTCTCAACTCTCACCAATGAAGCTCCCTCATGCAACAAAGGACCAGGAACACAAAAGGTCACAAATGGCCAAAGCGTAGAGATTAAGAGTCTGCAGAATGCTGGTCCTTAAATAGGACTCCTATATGAAACTCCACCCACCCAAGCCTCAGAGACTATCACAGACGAGGGGGCGGATAGATTATAAGAGCCAGGGAAGAGGTGCACCACCATATGGAAGCAGAGTCCTGCAAGCTCCTGAGATCCTACTCCTGTGAATCTACAGCAGTGGTGTGCGTGAGGGTCCCCTACAAACTCAGGCAGATAGGACCCAGCACAAAGCTGGGGAGATGAACGGTGGATCCCAATCTTGGCTGAAGAAATGTTGGTGGCTGATTGCTGTTGGGTGGGTAGGAGCTGGTCTTCCAGGAGTGATGGACTCTGGATGGGCTGACTGGACCTCAGTGGATAGACTTGCACTGGGGAGCATCTGGGAACACTGGCTTGACATGGTGGGCCTCGGCACAGATGACAGAGTGTGTGGGCTCTGGTGGGGGGGGTTGTAGGGGAGTGGCAGTGGGGATGAGGGTATAAAGATGATTAAGACTGATTGAGCTGTTCTGTGTGAGATGTGCAAAAATATACAAGTTTAAAAAAGAAAAAAGAAAAATCACAAAAATCTAATAAAAACTGAAAAAAAAGTAAAAAGGGGCATAATGAAGGCAAACCATATCATCCTTGAACACAACATAAAATAAAAAGAAATTATATATCTTCCAGTGTTCAAAGGCCTTTTTGATTAGTTCTTTGAGAATTTCATACAATGTATTTTAATCATATTCATCTCCCTAACTCCTCTCAGGTCCATCTCCTGCTTCCTAACCTACCTATCAAATCCAATTTGTGCTGCACATATACTCTTGATGTGTGGCATCCACTAGAACACACTCTTAAAGAAAACTGACTCGCCCTCTCCCAGCAGCTATCAATTGCCACTAGAGCCTCAGCTAGGGGTAGGATATTTTGACTACCTCCTCTCTCCATGCTGGGATTTTTGTCTGGCTTGATTTCATAGGGGTCTTCTGCATTTTGTCATAACCACTGTGAGTGAACATATGTACCTGCCCTGTTGTGCCCAGACAACACTGTTTCCTTGGAGTCATCAACAACCTCAAGCTCTTACTGTCACTCCACGCCCCCACCACCTAGCCCCACCTTCTGCAATAATCCCTTAGCATTTGGAGAAGCGGGGATGATATAGGTGTTCTGTTTAGGGCAGAGCATTCTGTAGTCTCTTATTCTTTGCACCCTGACCAGTTATGAGGTCTCATAGACCCTCAGACATTACAGGCCATAGGCAGTGCTCTTGTTTACCCACCCAAACTTGAAAGTTAGATCTTATGAAGATACCAAATACTTGTTTCGTAGAACATGGAGAAATCAAGCTGGTACAGACCTGAAAGCTTCTTCCCTACTGGATAGCTTCATAGTGTTGGAAGGTGCTATGCATGCTACCAGAGGAGAAAAGTAATCATCAGTCTTACCCAGCTGTGAATCCTGTCACCTACAGTAACAACTAGCCTGGGAAGATACACTCACTAATGTAATAGTGTCACAAATGTCATGGATGTAATCAACCCATTTCAGATATAATTTAAGGCCAACTCCAAGAGATGGAAGAACTGATCCCTGGCACTATTATCAATGCCAACAACCTGTGGTTAGATAGATCCCAGTCTCTAGAACCTACTAATGTTTGCCATTTCTTAATAAGAGGGCTAGAACTGGTAGATAGAGTTGCTTACCTTAAAGATCATGTGCAAATATACATATCTTCAGTCAGTCAAAAGATATACATTCAAGACGCTCAATTACTATGAGGCATTTAGGATTAAAAGTACATTTTTGTCTTTCCTCACGTACTGTTTTGTAGGTATACTCTCAGTAATTATGACGTGGAAGCATAATCGTATATAACTTCTCTTTGTCTTTCCACTCTTTTGGAAAAGTCAGGGGGGTGGAGTATGCACCCACCAGTGTGGCAAATGTGGAAAACGGAACTTTCTTGGTATCAAAGTAGGCAACAAAGAAGTCTTGTAAAAACAAATCTGGGACTAGCAAGATGGATTAGTGAGTGCTTTCCTCCAAGCCTGGGGACCTGAGCTGGATTCCCAGAACCCACATACTGGTGCATGCATACACACACACACACACACACACACACACACACACACACACACACACACAATTAACAAAACAATGAAAGAAAAAAATAAATGAATTTACTAAAAGTAGGTGGATTCTTATTAAAAGTCTGAATGTGAAATGCTTCCCCACAGACTCATGTGTTAAAGAGTAGTTGTTTCCTAACTTGTGACACTATATCCAGAGGTTGTGGAAACTTCTGGACATGGGCCTAGGTAGTAGATATAGAGCTTTAGAGATGGGACTTCTGAGAGAGAGTTCTGTACCAGATCCAACTTGGACTACTGCCTGCTTACAGGTCAGCAGCAGCAATTTGAGTAAGCTTCTTCCACTCAGCTACCATGGCCAGGAGCTGTTCTCACCATGAATGCCACCATGATTCCCCTCTGTGAAACTGTACTAAATGCAATCTTTCTGCCCCAGTTGTTTCCTTCAGGTATTATGTCCCAGGGATTAGAAAAGTAACTAGGGGCTGGAGAGATGGCTCAGTGGTTAAGAACACTGGTTGTTCTTGCAGAAGACCCAGGTTCGAATCCCAGCACCCACATGGCAGCTAACAACTGTCCGTTAACTCCAGTCCCAGGAGATCCAACAGCCTCTTCTGACCTCTGTGGGCATTACACAACATGGGTGCACTTTCCTACATGCAGGCAATACATATATACACAGAAAATAAAAATAATAAATAAAAAAGCAACCAATTACTGTACTTAACAAAAATTCTTTGTGACTACTCAGAGGGAAAGTATACCCACGTAAGAGACAATGAATGAATGAACTGTTCTTGTTAAAAGTGAATTAAGAGTATTTTTTGACCATCATGTCTTAAGTTGTGTGGAACCCTAAACTCTCTGAAGTAACTATACCAATTCAGTGTACATACCTCCATATTTTCATATGGGAACATACGTACCCATAGAAGGCAAACTGTTATCATTTGAAACTATTAACAATAAACCTAAGTTCTGACATGCTGAATAAGTAATGATATCCTTTAATGAAATTAAAAACTGAATATGCAGGGCTGGAGAGTAGGCTCTGCAGTTAAGAGCAATGGCTGCTCTTTGAGAGGACCTAGGTTTGATGCCCACCACTCATATGGCAGCTAACAAATTTACATAACTCCAGTTAAAGGGTATCTGACTCCCTTTTCTGGCCTCCACAGGCTTTGTCCAACACAGGGGTACTTACATACATGCAGGCAAAACACTTACACATATAAAATAAAAATAAATAAATCAAAAAATAAAAATAAGTGAATATACTTGCCTGACTAGCATGATATCCGTATCTTTTTGGTGAAGTTCAGTCTGTTTATTATTCAGCTGTAATGACAGATCATTATATTTACTGTGTGACACTTCAATTTCTTTCTTTGCTTCAAGTAAACTGTCTTCAAAGGCCTAAAATTAGAGCACTCACATTACAATCAAACACAATACACATGAAATATATTACATTCTGTAAGACAGAGACAACTGCTCTAATCAAAACTCTAGATCCATTTTCCACAATAATAAAAATTTAACATATTTAAAATATATAATGTCAAGTTTTTTACATAGTTTCACAAAAAGATTTAGAGAAAGATCAGAGGAAAATCCAATTTTGAAGAATTTTAGGTGAAAAACTTTAGGAAGAACAATAATTTACACTAACTTACAGTCATAATAGAATTTTTTCAGAAGCATAAAAAAGGATTAATAGCTTCCTGGTATGAAATCAAGAGTTTGAAACAAACTAAAACACTATACAAAATTTATTTATTACAGCTACAATAAATCATATAAT